AACAAAGCTATAAGGGTGTCTAAGTAAATTAATTAAAAAAACAAAAACTAATTTAAAAATGCAATAAACTATAATATTTTAATTCTTCAAAACTCTGTATAAAAAACCAAGGATGTCCTTCGGCAAGTCATCGTTTTCATATAAAGGAATCTTTTTTTCGCTAACTTTTATCCATCGTCCATCTTTCTCGAGTTCCAGCATCATTTCTTGGTAGTCGCCTTACTCAGTGTCTCGGATATCAAAACAAATAAGGCCAGCTGCAAAGAAAAAAGTGCCATCGTGAATAAAAACACTTAGGTCCACCTTTTTTTACAAAACCAGCTTCCCAGACAAAAATAAGTAGTAAAGAAAAAAATTAATAGTAAAGCTGAAGAGATGAGAGCTCGATACTTTAAAAAAGGTAACTAGAGCTCAGGCTCCATTTGTTCAAACGGTGGTGTAGCCGCAGCCTTTACGGGTTTTAAATTTGCACACAAAAAACTTTATTTCTACATCTTCTACAATCAATAGGAACAAGGCGAACCGAAGAGAGGCGATGTGAAGTAAAACGAAACAAAGTGAAGCGGTACTGATAAAAACAACAATTAAACAAACACAAGGTCAAGATAAAATAACCAACCAATTGAACGAAAGCAATAAGGCAAAATGAAAATGCGAATGAAACAAACGAGATACTTAAACACGATAGCGAAATAAGATGAAACACTTGGACGAGCAAAGAGTAAATAAAAATGAAAAGACTTAAAACTGGACCAGCGAAGCACAACAAAGAACTGCCGCGAAAATTACAATCGAAGCTAAATATAATATATGCAAGAAAACTTAACACGAAGAACAAAGATACGCAAACAATGAACGGCTAATAAACCAAAAAAAACTATACTAAAGGCGCGAACACGAAAATAACTAAAACGCGGCAAACACACAAACGCTAAAGAAAACGCAAAACGTTCCCGGCGCTTAAGGGTGGAAAACACTATCCGCTGGATAAATAAAAAACAGTGTATACCGAAACTTGTTCCCTGTATAAGGATTTATAGTGGATAGCGATGAGCAAGTTTTGCACAACTTGAGACAGAAAGGGTGCGACATTTGACAGGCATGCAATTTGGAAAGAGTTGTGTTGAGTTGTGTTGATACAATACTTGAAACAGGTTAAAGAAATCAATAAAGTTGACTCTTCCTTAACGGAAACCTCCGTATAAGACGAAACCTCGATGAAAAGAACACCTAGAGTTGGTCCCTTCTTTTCTTTACTCCCTTTATTTGACCCTCTAAAGGACAGACATCTCTCTAAGACTGCCCCAACAGTGCCCGTCTTAGAGAGTTGACTGTAATAACAAGAACAAAAACAACCACAAACAAATATAAATCAAGACAAAAACAAAATAACCCCACACCACACCACATCAGGACGGCACTCTCTTATTTGGCCTAAAGAGGTATGCGCAGCTGAACAGGATATTGAGTCTTAAAGAAGGTATGCAATTTTAACATTTCGCGTATTGAAATTTGGGCCGAAAACCTTTAAAATGGTGTTAAGGTTGGCGATAAGCGGTCTACATTTATGTTAACACAATTAGATGTTTTTCTCTAGTTTGAAGAATTACTGAACTGTTTGCAAAACGAAAGGAATAAAGGGTTTTAAATTAAGGTTTTCTGTATTCAACAAGGTAGCGAAATGAGCACTTTTTGGCTTAAACAGGGTTAGGTTTTGAACACCTTGGCGGCAAATTTCTACCTAATTCTCTTGAGTGCCACGGCCTCGCGACCAACACCATCAACAACAACAACCAAACAAACCAAAACAAAGAGGAGACTTAAAACCAGCAAAATAAAAGACAAAATTGAGAGACAAAATAAAAGACAAAATCGTGGTCACCGTATGATAAAGAGGGTTGTAACTATTACTACAGGCATAAATTTGGTCTTTTTGCGATCAAAGCAATCAAAACAGTTAACACTTAAACGGGGGGACATGTTTAAGTAGCTGCCATACCTGTACTAGTAGTATGTGTCCGGAGTTTCCCTTTTATAAACTTTTTCACGCACAAAATAACACTAAAATGCTTTCTCGACAATACGTTGACTTTCCTTAGCCGAACAGTGCATTTTTCCGCTTTAGACCCCCGTTTCCGAAATGGCAGACTTTGCTGCTTACATGTACCCTTCAAACGTGCAGATAGACGGTGTTCTATGTATCGTTTGATTGATGAAAATCTATTTCCAAATGGTTTTCATTAGGTCGCGCAGCATTAAAAATAATGGTAATTGGACTATAGGTCTTACCGATCCTAACCATTCTGATCATTTCCAAAAATGCAGAGGAGCGAGCGTGCCCCCTAAACAGTGTACCAACGCAAATCAGAGCATCATATTCCCCAGTGTCTATTTCAGGAATCCGCTGGTCACTCAACGAGACGCAGATGAACTTTTTGTAGACGTTTTTTCTTTTTTGCTTCGTTTAACATTTCAGCTGAAATATCCAACGCGTCCAGTACATTGTAGCCAAGCTCATGAAGTTCCAGACCTAACAGTCCCGTACCTGCACCGACTTCAATGATTTTCCACTCATTCTTTGTTTTGTCTTCGCAATCTTGTTTGATTGAGTCATCTAAATACTGGCACATTGCTCGGTACACAACACAGCGCGTTGACAGGACTTGCTGAAATTGTCAATCAACCGCAGCTTTCAATCAATGCATAATAATGATAATAGCAAAGATAATGAAAGTAAAAATAATTATAACTAATAATAACAATCATCATCATCATTATAATTGTAACGCTTGGAGAAGAAGAAAAGAAGATATTTGATCAAAAGTGTGAAATATAAAATTCCTTCAACCATATTCTTGACTGAAGGTGGCTACATACATGTACATACAATGACAAATGGCTGGAGGCTGTGCCCATACCTTTGAGGCTAAAAAAAAAAAATGTAACAAACGAACTTTCAGGAAAGAGCACCTCATGCACAGTTTTATGTTTTTTACCATCTTTAAATTTACAACAGCTACCTTGAGAGTGCCGGTTACCGCCTTCCTTTTAAGTCAATTCATTCTTACAGTGGACAATCGTTTCAACATTTGCTTACGCTGTAGTTGCAGCCGTCTACAGCCGCTCCTTCCCCTAGTACTGTGTAAATCTGAAAAGTAAGTTACCACCATCTCGCGAAATCGAGGAACGAAAGACTCGTCCCGAGAGACGAAAGTTTTGTCTCGCGAGGCGGTTAAGAAATTGCAAGTATCAAGTGTCTTCCGAGGTTTTCCGTCACAATACGGCATGCACTCGACCAAGCAGGTGATGTGATGAATTAGAGGCAAGAGATGCTCGAATTAGAAGTAGCTTAAAACTTCAGTACAGTATCAACGAAAAATGAAAGAAACATTTACAGTCTTAAACGCGCTTGTCAATTATAATTGCGAAACCTCTCCGAGAAATACAGTGCAAAAACTAGGATAGTAACAGTAAAATGGATAGTACGCGTACATCGTCTGTTTTCACTATATTTATTCGANACTGTGTAAATCTGAAAAGTAAGTTACCACCATCTCGCGAAATCGAGGAACGAAAGACTCGTCCCGAGAGACGAAAGTTTTGTCTCGCGAGGCGGTTAAGAAATTGCAAGTATCAAGTGTCTTCCGAGGTTTTCCGTCACAATACGGCATGCACTCGACCAAGCAGGTGATGTGATGAATTAGAGGCAAGAGATGCTCGAATTAGAAGTAGCTTAAAACTTCAGTACAGTATCAACGAAAAATGAAAGAAACATTTACAGTCTTAAACGCGCTTGTCAATTATAATTGCGAAACCTCTCCGAGAAATACAGTGCAAAAACTAGGATAGTAACAGTAAAATGGATAGTACGCGTACATCGTCTGTTTTCACTATATTTATTCGAATATTTCATTTAAATATGTGATACCCTCGGCGTCACAGGCTTTTTGCTCGGGTCACTACGTAGACTCGACAGAAACCGGAAACCGCACATGAAAAGTCTCTGGCATCCAGAGTAAATGTGCAATAGTAAACAGGCGAAATGTCACTATCAAGTCCATATAAGTTAAACATAGGAACCTTTAAGATTTTAATTGAAACAACTGCATTTGCTCTTTCTGAAATGGCTAAAACATTCGCCAAGACAAAGGTAAGCTGTGTGTCTAGAACTCCCTTCCAGTCTCCCTTGCAAAGTCTCCCCTCAAGTTCCCCAGGGTGTGTACGGGGGGACGTACGGGCGGACAAGAGCAATAAACGTTCCCCGATAAGAAAAATAACACTGAACATCCTTCTTGTAACTTGAGGACCTTTGCCTGGTCTTGGCAGCCTAGGGCCGAGAAAAAGTGCTCCACAACTTAAGATTGACATGCATGTGCATAACAATAATCATAACATTATCAACTAATGCAGGAGAAAAGTTACAGCCAAAGGCTGCTTTTACAAAGTAAAAACATACTTGCCCTACGAACTGATTCTTACTGACGGCAAAGAAATCAGTTGAAAAAATGTGATACACGGGTAGAGTTGTTGTTTTGCTTATCAAACCTTTAGCGTTTCTGCCGTTTTCGTTGCCGTCGTCGTTGCTTAAGCTGCCTTTTATCTCTGCGGGTTTTACACGAAAAATAAATCAATTAAAATGTCTTTCTTACCTTGTCATAACTGCTCGCCCAATCACGATACAATTGTTTAATCTCCTCCTCTGATGTGCTTTTTGAAACGTTCTTTAACCGATCGCCATAGTATTTACTGTATCCAGCTTCGTACGTTTTCGCAGCCATTGATCTAAAAAAAAGGGAATCAATTAAAAAGAATAAATAAATAAACAAATAAATAGCAAATAAATTGGAAGATTTATGACATGATTTGCCCAATAATAAGTTATCAGTAAAAAATACATCCTGTAAAAGAAGTTGTGCTGTGGATCCTGAGCGCACAGCTTGAAAAAATTTCGAATGCTCATCGAACAAAGAAAAACAGAATAACTGAATAGAAATATGACAGCAACAACACAAAAACGCTTGTGCATGTAAGAGAAAATAAAATCTACATGAAAAACGTTCATTTACTGTCTATAATAATATTCTGAAACTCTTCACCCTGGACTTGCTACTTAATGTCTTGGTTGTAATAAGATTGCATTATTAACGATCCTCAATAGCCTACCAACCATTTTAGGTCTCAACAAGTGATCAGGAGGGTGAATCTGGTCAAACTATTAAGGATAGCAAAGATTTGGTTTTGCATTCTACTCTAACTAAGATAGTACGCGCGCTCTGATTGGCCGAGAGGAGTGTTTGCATGAGAGTATGACTGTAAACATGGTTGTGGCGTCAAGTTGTTTGGCTTTTCGCGCGCTAATCACGCAAGCACGAATTTGAAAAAGTTTTCGAGTTCAAAACTCGACAAGTTTGCTTTATTTACCCATTCCTTCGTCGGCTGAAACATGGAATATCGTTATAAAGAAGATGTGTCAATTTTTCATCGCTTAAGCTGACATTTTAAACGAGAAAAATCCGTATTTTGCAGAGCATCTTTTTGCAAAGCAAGAACTGATTACGCGAGCAATACTTCGTGACAAGATTTTGCGACTGGTAAGAATTTCTCTTTTAATCAGTGCCATCACAGGTAGCCCAAGCTCGAAATATGAGCATCGGCGAGCATCGGCATTGTTGCATAACATTCAAAATATAAGGATTTGTATGGGAAAAAAACCTATCGCCTCTGTAACCTACGAAAATTAAAGAATTTCAATAAAAAACAGCTTACCTTACTTAAAATGTGTGTTACATCTCTCCTGTGTGGTCCACGGGCCGATTTATGGCCGTTTTATGGGTTTTTATGTAAACGGTTTTCTCTCTATATAAAGGTTTACCAAGGTTGGGCACTCCAGCGAAGCGGCTCGACTGATCCACCGAAGGAAAACGGCCGTAAATTCGCTCCAGCTGCTCCAATCGCCTCCAAATTCCGCCTAGGTAACACACGATAGTTCTCCTTTCCATTCGTTACCTTGCTTCAAGACGCCTTTGCACCGAGAGCGAATCAAAGGTCGCCAATCTCTGCAAACCTTCCCGATTGAAGCCATCGACAGAGGCTCGGGATGAGCTCCGCGTTACCCAAACCGTTGAAAGATAGCTTAGCGACCCGGCCTGAGATTCAAATTACTCACACTCGGGGTGGGAGACAGTCTCTTGCTCCCGTTGACATCAATACCCTTGGGCCCGACCCTCGCAAAGGCTAACTTGCACGCATTGTTCTCATTGACCAATCGGAGCTCAAACTGGCGAAATTTGAATGAGAAGTGTCAAATTTCCTCTTTCAAAACAAAGTACGGAATCGTCACGGTATGTAGC